GAGAGAGAGAGAGAGGTCTTCCAATTGGCTTCCCCAATTGGCTGCAACAGCTGGAGCTGCGCTAATCTGAAGCCAGGAGCCAGAAGCCAGGAGCTTCTTCCAGGTCTCCCTCGTGGGTGCAGGGGTCCAAGCACTTGGGGCATCTTCCACTGCTTTCCCAGGCCATAGCAGAGAGCTGGATGGGAAGTGGAGCAGCCGGGACTAGAACCAGCACCCTTGTGGGATGCTGGTGCTTCAGGCCAGGGTGTTAACCCACTGCACCACAGCGCCGGCCCCTGCCATATGTATATATTCAATGAGGCATACCTGGCAGGAAGCACTCTGTACCGCTTCTCACAATGATCCTACAAGCCAGGTGGTTTGCAGATGAGGACGTTGAAGACCTGGTCCCTCCTTTCTCCTTCTTCTCTTGAAATCCATTCACCTTTCCCGGGGACCCCTCCTGACTTTTCCCAATGGGATTTGGACATCTGCTCACCACCAAGCTCTAAGGCCTCTAAGGCCGGGATGTTCTCCTGGGTGGGGTGAGGCAGAAGGTCGGGGTGAAGTGCACAGGAGGGGAAGGAGAGAAAGGCTCAGGCACAAAGGCTGGCCCGAGGGAGCCGAGGCCCTGACTTTGCTGTGGAATGATGGGCCAGAAGAGAGGTCTGGGGATAAGTAGGCGTGGACTGGCGCTCAGTGTGAACTCTTAGTGCTGGGGGCGGGAGGAGGCATGTGGCCGGGGTGAAGGGTGCGGCCTGTGTGTGTGGAGGCCAGGGGTCTCTCTGGGTCCTGGGCCCTTTCTCTGGAGGACTACTGAGTCCAAAGACCCCTCTGTAGGGTCTCTCTGAGCCTAGAGCCCTTTTGGGACTTCTCTGTGTTCAGAGGACTTTTAGTGGGGAATCTCTGGGGTCTCCTAAGGAGCGGATGGGAGCAGGAGGCAGGGCCTGGAGGCCCTCCAGGAGGTGTGGGGCAAGGATGAGGAGCCTGCTGTGACCCTGGGCCTCTGATCTGTCATGCCAAGGGACACCCTGGCAAGTGGAAAGCCTGCTCTTGGACTCAGCAAATGTAGCAGAGGCAGGGTCAGTTATTTCCTACTCCAGTATGTGGCCCCTGGCTCAGAATCCCCTGTGTATTTCTACTTTCACAGCGTCCTTTGCATAGATTCTCCCAGTTTCTTCTTCTTTCTCCCACCCTCCCCTTCTCGAGTCCTGAGCTCCTAGCTGGCTGGCAATGGCACGAAGGGCTCAGTCTGTAGCAGGCAGTGGATGTATCTGGTACAAGTCTTGGCTGTGTGCTCTTGGGTGAGCCTCGTCCCCTCTCTGGGTGGAGATGAAGCTCTCACAGTGTCCAACATCATTCACTTGTCTCCTACGCGGGCATTGTGATGCCAATGAGAACAATTTCACTGGTGCCAGTCAGCCTGGAAATGGTGCAGAGCTGGGAGGGCCGGGAGCCGTGCCAGTGTGGGGCCTTGGGCCATGCAAAAGGGTGCGAGTCCTAGATTCCTAGGCGGCCAGAGCTGGAAGCAGCTTCACAATTCAGTGAGTACTCATGGCTTATTTAACAGATGGCGAAACAAGCTGAGTAAGGGGACGTGGTCACAAAGCTGACAAGCAGAAGAGCTGGCTTGTCTGGGGACAAGGAACTGGATCGTGGCAGCCCAACTACAGATGGGCTCCTGTCCTCTCAGTGTCGCGGTGGCCCGCAGGTTCACTTCTGGAGCCACGTGTCCTGCAGGAAGGACGTAGGTGCCGGAAGTGGACTGGACCAGGCTGCTCTCTGCACTGTGGGGTCTGGGCAGATCCTGGCTGTCCTGACCTCTCCAAGGATGGGGCCCTGGGGGGCGGGCAGGCAGCTGTACTGATGTACCATTATTCTGCCCACATCTGGGGAGACCACAGCGGTGCCCTACCTAGGGCCTGGATGTCAGCCATCGAGGAAGGGATCTGAGCCCCACCGCTCAGTGTGCGCACAGCGGGAGTCTAGGGAAGTCGGCAGAGAGGCAAAGAGGCTGGACGTCTAAGGCATCTCAAGCCTGGGGGCCACCTGTTCCTATCCCCCTCACCCGGATGTCACTTTGTACGTCTTTTGTTCATGTTGGCCTTCCTTTAGAATGCTCTGACAGCTGTTTTGCAAGACAGCAGAGTATAGGGGTTCATTGCAAACTCAAATCAGATTACCTTGGTTCATTTCCCTGTCCTTGCACTTACTTGCTGTGTGACTTTGAGTAAGTTATATACCGCTCTGTGCCTCACTCTCCCTGTCTTAAAAAGGGGTTAATGATAGTACTCATTCCATGAGGTTGCTGTAAAGAGCCAGGTTCCAGCATGAAGCACTGTGGACTTTAAGGGTTAACACTCATACTAATGGGCGCTACCAGACACGGTGCTGCTGTCAGGCCGGCATCTTCCCCCCTGGAAAGGGAGCTCTTCTTCCCATTTCTTAAGGAGGCCAGCTGAGGTCTGGAGCTGTAGGAACAAGGGTGCTGGAGAGGCTCTAAACCAGAAGCCAGTGAAGGCGGGGGGCTGGAAGAGGCAGGGAGGAAGTGGGGCTCTTCCATGCCCACTGGGAGGGGCATCTTTCCAGCCCTCAGGGACCCGGAAGGCTGTGGAGCCCTGGGCTGGGAAAGATGGCAGGGAAGGAGGGCCAGGATCCTTTGCTTGGAAGGCTTCTGGTTGGAGCTGTGAGTCTGTAAGGAGGCAGCAGTCAGGTGGAGAATGCCAATGACCAGCACGGTGCTTGACTCTGCTCCTCGGCTTCATCCAACTCTCCTGTGGGGGTTAGCTCCCTTCTTTCAGAGGCTGAAAATGACCCTCGAAGATATTAAGTGGCAGGTCCTGGATCCCACAGCTCTGAAGTGGCTGTCCTGCAACTTTGAATCTGGTCCTCTGACTCCACATCCCAAGCCTTTGATCTACAGCCTCTCCCAGACACTACAAGCTAAGGGGTGGGGCGGGGGGGGAAGAGGAGGGACAAAACCCACCAGTTCCATGGCGGGGGACAAGGCCCCCAGAATGTAGCACAAAGCCTGTGCATAAAAGGTGCTCAGATATGTGTTGCATGAACGGTGGGGAGGGACTTGGAAGGCCTGCTCCTAGGAGTGCATTCTCCTGCCTCTGTGACAGAAATAGGGGTGGGGTGGGGAAGGTGTCTGAGGACTGGGGGCTGGGGGAGGTACTGGGATCAGAGCGGACCTCTGTCTCACCTGGAAACCTCTCTGGACTTCCCACACATACCTGCACACATGCTTGCCCAGGTATGCCTCTTGGCCCTGTCCAGCCTCTCCTGCCCCCTCTGCCTCCAGGACCCGGCAGTACCTTATGCCTTCCCGGTTTGCTGTATAGGGAATAGCCTGGCACCGGGATCAGAACTATCCTTCTTGGTACCATGGTATTCTCACAAGAGCTTCGACAGGTAGGATGAGTGGAGATGATGGAGTTAGGAACTGTTAAGCTCTAAGGTCAGAGGACAGGTTGGAGGCAGAACGGGGTCCAAAGGTATTGCAAGTAGAGGAACGGGGCTGAGGGGGCACTTCTCTGAATTAGGCCAGGCTGGGCTCTTCTCAAGGACCTGAGGAACCTGGCTCTGTCTGTCCTTTTTTTATTTTTAATCCAAGGCAGAAGGGGCAGAAGGGACCCCATTTCATCCCTGAGGGGATGGAGAGAATCCCAGAGCCTTGTGCTGGGCCATCGCTCCAGCCCTCTGCAGTCTTCATAGTTGCCAGTAGGTGCCGCCAGTTTGCAACTTTTTGGTCTGTCCCGTGGTCCGGCTTCCAGCCCGGTCTCCCTGCAAGCACTCGGGCAGCCTGCACTTGCAGAAAGCCAGAGGTGGCTCAGACTCCGCGAGGCCGAAAGACTCCTGCCCTACAAGACGAAGTACGAAAGGGAGTCTTCGAGCTGCACTTCAGCTTGGTTGCCCCACAGCTTTGCAGGCCAAGCAAAAAACCAATCAGTGCACTGTGGGCCACAGATCACGCCTGGACAGGTGCCCTTAGCCTTAAACAAGCTGCAAGATAGCAGAAACCTCTGTGTGGGCGGACTGGCAGGGATTAGGGTATCCGAGAAAGACCTTAGGAGATGGGTCCCTGCACCAAATGCTATTCTCTGGCTCCTCTCAATCCCAGCAGGATTGGGGCAAGGGCTGGGGATATAGGACATCACAGAGTGGAAGAACAGCCCCATGCTAGCCCAAGTTGGAAAAAGGCACCCCCTTCCTCAAACCCTTGACTGCCACCTGCTGGGAAACCGTCACAACTACACAAATACACAATGGCTGCAAGAGCAGTGTCCCCGAAGTTGTTCAGACGCAACCCGAGAGTGTTGTGAGTGGGCAATCCCGCAGGCCAATTTTCCTTCCAGGAGTGCGTTGGGACAGTTGAAGCAAACACCCAGGAAAGAAGAGGCTTGGCACCTCTCCTCCCTCCCAGGCCTTCAGTCGATTCCACGCCAGAGAAGGCAGAGTGGACCAGGGTCCGGATGAGCCTTGGGGGATCCTGGGGAAAGGGGAGGTTGCAAGGGTTCAGCGGGAAGAGAGTCTTGGGCCGCCAGGCCTTCCTGACCCCTCGCTGGGTGCTTGTGCCTCCTTCTCCACCCCACACGGCCCGATCTCCAGCAGAAGCCTGGAAGCCCTGGGGTGGGGTGGGAAGGACTCCGGCCAGGGACATTGAATTCGCAGAGCAGGGAGTCCTGGCGGGAAGGTTCTGTTCTTAGTGGGGACTGAGGGCAGCGTCGGTGGGGGTGGGGCAGAATCCTCTGAGATTGGTGGGGGGAGGGGGCCAAACCCAGCCCCTTCGCTTCGCCTCTCCCGCTCTCCCCTCCCGACTCGGGTTCAGAGGCGCCCTGGGCGCCTGCAAAGCTTCCCAACCGCGCCGCTTCCTTCTTCGGCAGCAAAGGACTTTCAGATGTTGGAGCGGCGGCGGCGACTCAGGACAGCGCCCCCTCCCCCTAACGGCCGCCTCTCCCTCTCCCCCTCGCCCGCCCGGGCTCCCCCACCTCTGGGAAGGCGCTGGGGGTGTGGCCAGGGGCCGGTATAAAGTCCGCGGGGGGAGCCGGTCCCGGGCAGCCGCTCAGCCCCCAGCCCCCGCCGCCCGCCGCCCGCCTAGGCCAGGCCGAGGATGCGGCGCAGCGCCCGCGCGGCCAGGCTCGCTCCGCTCCGGCGCGCTTGCTAACTTCCCCGAATCCGTCCCGGTCCTCCAGCCCGGCCGCCCCGTCTCCCAGCGCCCTCCGGGTCGGGTCTTCCAGGCGCGCCGGGCGCTGCCGCCGCGTGCCCCCAGCTACCCGCCTGCGCGCCCGCGCTCCCCGCCCCGTCCTCGCCCGACCATGCTGTCCCTCTGCCTCGTGGTCGCCCTGCTGCTGGCCTCCGGGCCCCAGCCGAGCCTGGGCGACGAAGCCATCCACTGCCCGCCCTGCTCCGAGGAGAAGCTGGCGCGCTGCCGCCCCCCCGTGGGCTGCGAGGAGCTGGTGCGGGAGCCGGGCTGCGGCTGTTGCGCCACTTGCGCCCTGGGCTTGGGGATGCCCTGCGGGGTGTACACCCAGCGCTGCGGCTCGGGCCTGCGCTGCTACCCGCCCCGGGGGGTGGAGAAACCCCTGCACACGCTGATGCAAGGACAAGGCGTGTGCATGGAGCTGGCGGAGATCGAGGCCATCCAGGCAAGCATGCAGCCCTCTGGTAAGACACCCTGCCCTCGCTCGACCTCTTGGTGCGCTCTTCCCTCCTCCGGCTGGCCTGGAAGGCCCTGGAAAAATCCCCCGTGAGCTGAGGAGAAGGCAGGGACGTGGCAGGGCCTGACTGGCACGGGACAGGCTCAGCCAAAGAAACTGCTCCCCAGTTCCCAACAGCCTGTTGCCACGGCTAAGGGGACTGTGTCCCATCCCTATGTCTCAAATCTCCCACCGGTGCTATCTGGGAAGAGGTCTGGCTGCTGGTGACAGAGTGGCAAATGTAGTGACCAGGTCTGGTCAAGAGAGCTGTCCACGGCCAGTGAACTGGAGCATGGGGGTGGAGTGGGGGTGGGGACAGCTCTGTTCCTGAACCAGGGCCTGCCCCTCACCCTGGACGCCGGTGAAACCCCAGGGGCTGAGGAGCCAGAGCTGGACATCCTCACGTGGTGGAGTGGGAAATACAAAGGAGGTGGCCTTTGGTGGTGAGGGCTGCCAGGCTGCCAGGCTGCCCGTCCCCAAAGCCGTAGGCAGCTCACCTTGCTGTTGGAGGGCTGTGCAAAGACAGGGGTCTCTGCCCGGCCTGGTCTCCAAGCTCCCCTGCTCCCTCTTCCTGGCAGGTGCCACGTGAGCTGGCAGAAGAGAAGTCTTGGCTCCCAGCCCAGAGCTGCGGAAACCTCGTGGGTGTGGGATAGGGGATAGCGATGGGGAGGGCGGGAGAGAGACCTTTTAGCCCTAACCTCATTCTTACACTTTCTCTGTTTCCATTCCTCAGTGAGCCGGTCTCAGCTTCTCTCCCATGTCTCTTTCGGCCTTGTGTTCTTTTGTTCTTTCCTGCTTTGTCTCTCAGCAGCCAGTTTCACTAACGACGTCCTGAGTTCTCTTTCTCAGTTTCTCTCTCTCGCTCGCGCTCTCTCGCCAGCTTGTTCCACGCTTCTGTTTCTGTCGCACGGCCTCTCACTTTCATCTCGCTTTCCATTTTTCTGCTGCCTGGTCTTTCCATCACTGTTTTTATCTTTCTGCTCCCCTTGGACCCTCTCTGCCTGTCTGTATCTCTGCCTCCGTTTCTTGTTCCCGCTCCGTCTGTTTCGCTCTCCCTGTGCCTCTGTGTCTGTCTCTCTTCCTGGTGCTTCAAGCTTCCATTGTTGCAGTCCGGATGCTGGGACTCTGGCCCCAAGCTTCCTGCCCAGGGTCCCAGACCGCTCCACTTCCTCAATCTTCTGCCGCCTGTTAGCTGGAGGAGAGCAGGATGCAGGGAAAACAGGAAGGAGGTGGACCCCAGGGGTCCGGGCCTCTGGCCTCGCTGCCCTTCCTGCCCCTGGGCAGAGAGAGATGGGTCAGCAGAAAACAGCCTGGCACCCAGCTCATCGGGAGGAGGGGTCCTGGGGAGTAAGTTGCTGATCTTGGGGCACAGATGCCAGCACCAGTGAGGCTGGGAGTGAGGGCTGAGCCCTTGGGCTCCTTGGGTACAACGGGGGCCAGTTTCCTTTTGAATTCTCCACCCTCCGCTGGCTGGCGGGTGTCTGGCACCAGATAAAGATGGCCGCCTCCTCCTCTCTTGCCCACTGGAACAGAGGAGCCCTCAGAGGGTCTTCTGCTTTGCTTAGGTAGGAAGACCCCATTCTTTGGTGGAGGATAGTCTGACCCTGTCGCACGGCTTGGCACGGACAGCTGGTGGCTGCCCTGTGGACACAAGGCAAACTGGCCTGCAGAGGTGACTAGGAGTGGGTTGGCTTCAGGTCCCTGTTGGATTTCGGAGCCCAGGTGGCTAATGTGTCTCCCCCTTCCCTCTTTGCTTTGTCCTCCACCCATGCTGAAGATGCAGGCAGCTGGAGGGGGCGAAGGGGGAATCAGGAGGGTCGGGGAAGCTAGGTACCTGCTTGGTAGGCAGGGTCCATGCGCTGTCACCTCCTGGTCATCAGAGAAGTCCTCCCCTACCACGGCCTGGGCCACGCTGCACCAGGGGAAGGACGCCCCCTAGAGTTGTGCAGCAGCTCTGCAGGGTCTTTGGTGAGAGAAGGTGACCAGGGCTCAGACCCTATCCTGCTACCCTCTTTAGCCTTATACTGTCAATAGGGCATTGTCCCTCCTGGGGGTCCCCTCCCGCAGCCCAACCCCAATCTGCCCCCTGCAGCCCAGGAATGCTGGGTGGAGGGCATCAGGCGGTTCTCTGCGTCTTCCTCTTGGGGCTGAGCTTCAGCAGGTGGTTGGGGACAGGCATTCCCTTGGTTTGCCTCCTCCTCGGCCAGCTATGGCTCAGCTGCCGCTGCTGTGCACCAGGGGCAGGTCTTCCCCACCCTCCCCACCCTCCCCCACCCGTCCATCTCCAGCCAGCTCCAGGCAGCCAGGTTGTGGATTAACACGGCTGTGGCCGCCAGAGGTGGAGCGGGACATGTGCGTCACAAGTCCACAATTCTGCCTCGGGGTCCTGACCCTCCACTCGTGGAATCTGGGGGAGTGTTCAGTGGGGAGATCAGCCTTGGACAGGGAGTTCCTAAACTGGGCCCTGGGTCCCTCTGGGACAGGGTTAGGGAACAGGGAGGCTGGGTTAATTTTTAGTCAACGCAGCAAATATTGTCCTCCGTACTTCAGTACTGGGAATCCAGGCATGACATGGGAGCCGGCCTTCCCAGAAATTCTATGCCTTGGGGGAGGAGGGCTGGAGGAGCAGGGCTGCTTGGCATTTTTCCTGTAGTATTGGCAAAGCAATATTACCAGTTGGTTCCTCGGCGATCAAGAATCTTTTCCGTTTAAAGACGTAGGAGCTGCGAGTTAAGTCTGCCCGTCCAGTTTGCTCAGCTGTGAAATGGGGATGGTGACAGGACCTGCCTCGCAGGGTGGGAACGTCTGGCAAGGAGCAAGGCTCAGTAAGCTGACGTTGATGAGGATGGCAATGAAGAAAGGGTTGCTGCTGGGACTCGAGGACCAGTAGGACAAGGGAGCAGAGTTGGGGGGACATTCAGAGGAACTAAGGGGTGGGTGGACTTTGGGGCCTCTTGTTGCTGTGTGCACGAGGAGAGCCCCACTGCCTTAGCAGGCTCTTCAGGCCCAGGCCAGTAGTACAGCACAAAGGTGAGGGGCTTCCCAAGTCAGCCCTCAAAGAAGGGGCCTGGGCTCCACACAGGTGGTCCTGGCTTGTCCTCCTCGGGAAATGTCTTTCTGGCTGAGCAGGTGAGTGAGTCCCCAGGTTGCAGCTGGAGCTTTGTGTCTGAATGACTGGGCCGCTCGGCTCCCAGCCTGGCCGGCTCATGGGAGGGGCTGGACATGGGGGGGGGGTCCCGTGGTGGGGGAAATCACACAGCAAGGAGGAGGAACTCCTCCATCTTCCACCACACACTGTCAGCCTCTCCTCGCTCTGGACTCCTTCCCTTGCTCAGCAGAGACCACAGCTGCCACGTGTGGGTGTCCGTTAGCTAGCACCCATGGGCGGCTGAGGAGGAGCCCCAGCCTGCCTTGGAAGCCCCATATCCCACACAGGCTTTTCGGAAGTGAGACCTTTCAGGGGGCTACGTCTGACTCCAGCCTCTGCGTAGTGGGGAGCCCGCGGGCATGGGCATGAATTTTTTCCAGAGGGCACCATGGGAGTGAACAGCACCAGGCAGCTGGAACTCTAGCAGAAGTAGCAAGTATGCAAGCGGTTCTGGGAGCTGGGAGACCCAGTGCTGTAACCTCTACCCCCCAAAGCCCAGTGCCTAGGGGCGGATCCTGGGGTGGGTCCTCAGTGTGCCAGGCAAGCAAGCCTGGGCAGGGCAAAGTTAGAGATTAGATGGAAAGTCAACAGCCTAGGGTACAGAGACTGGGGAAACCCTAGTGCCCTGTCCAAGGTCTGTGTCTCTGACCGGGGCCGGGTCCGAGTGCCAGAGTGCCCGTGGGTGTGCTCTTGTGAACGCATGGTGTGCGTGGTCATGTGATTATGTGTTTGTTTGTGGTTCTTGGGTGTCCATCCTTTTGTGTGTGAGTGGGAGGACGGGATTCCTTGGTGGCTCCCTGTCCTGGTGAGAGTAAGGAGCTGTTGTCCCTCTCTGGAGGGCTCTAGTGTAAGCTTGGGCAGGAACTAGGGCTCGGTGGGCTTGGCCTTGGGGAGCCCAACCAGGGGGAGGCCAGGCAGGCTGCTGGCAACCCTCTCCAGGTGACTCAGGCCAGACCAACTCCAGCACAGGAACTCCACATCCAGGCTCGCCCTGTGCTCTCCGCAGCCCAAGGTTTCAGTGAGCGCGCTCAGTCGCCCTCCCAAACACCCCAAACGTCTGCTAGCAGTCCCCTGAGGGGGTAATCGTTTGTGATTTTCTGCTCACAGACACTCCACATGGGAAAGCAGTTGTTACAGAACCTGCACTCCGTCTTCTAGTAGGACCCTTGAGGCCTCTACTGCCCTACACCCCCGTGGTGGGCAGCTGGCCGCTTTCCGGGCACCCCTTGCCTGAGAAAGCTTGTCCTTACTCTTTGAGCTCCTGGAGCCTCAGAACTTTCTTCCCCAGAGGAAGTTGTTCCCTACCAAGAGGAACAGGAGTTGCCGGGCAAAGCTGTGCTTTCTCTATGGTTGTGGAAAGAAAGCAAACTCAGGAAAAATAAAGGCTGTCCAGTTTGGGAGGGGACGCCCTCGACCCAGTGGCCTGGGCTGTGGCAGGCAAGGCCTGGTGATGTCCTCCAGCCTTTCCCAGGGCCTTGGGCCGCAGCTTAGTGCAGTTCTGTCCTTCCAAGGTTTGGTTCTCATTCTTTTGGTGTGTTTCCTCTTTCTGTCTGTACCTCAGCTCCAGCCTACACCCCTGAAACACAAACCTCATGACTTTGTGCAGGGTGGGTCAACGAGGGAGGGAGTCCTGGGCCTTCCTGGGTCTTTTGGACCAGGAAGGTTCTCTGGGAGGGTCTCTGAAGACAGCCCAATCCCAGACTTCCTCTGGTTCCTAAAGGAGGTTCAGGGTCTAGTCTCCTAAGGTCTCCTTGGCATGATCCTTGTCCACTTCTTTTGCTGCCTGCCTGCACTGGCTAGGAGGGCTAGCTTGGTGTCTTGGCTGTGGTTGACCCTCAGGAACTTGATGAGTGACAGGAGTTCCCTCTGCATTGTCCTCTGGATGGCACACGTGCAGAAGGGCGGATCATATCTCTGCTCCAATGATGCCTCTCTCAGGCAGCCCTCCACCCATGACAAAATCCTCTTCCCCTTGATGACTCCATTTTATTGGTGATCCTTGGTGTGGAACCTTGACAAAGACTTTCTAGGGGTCTAGATTGCTTCTTGCCTGAATTCCCTTTATCTGCATGCTTCCCCCAACCCCCAACACTCTAAGTAGGAGAATAGAGAAAGGGAAGCAACCCCCAGCTTTGGCTAGGCGGAAAAATACCATTTGACCCAGAGGCAGCTCTGGGACCACTGCCACGCATGGAGGAACCTGCTAACTCCTCAGGAAAAAAAAATCCTGACGCAAACCAGATGTAACCTCCTGTCCGGCTGCCAACATCTGGAATGCTGGCAGGGGCCTTGTGCTCAGCTTGCAGTGAGCTGCCAAGCCCCAGCCTTGCAGAGGGGCTCAGATCTGCAGAGAGGTCTCCCACTCTCTCTCTCTCTCTCCAGCTCAGCCCTGCATTCTGGCTTTGGCTGCCTGGAGGGAGGAGCCGCGGCTCTGATCCTGGGACTTCTGGATGGGGTTCTTGTTGAGCTCAGAGAGTGCAGATCTCATAGATGGGGCGAGAGGCCAGTCTCTTTGCTCCCATCTCCAGGTGCTCGGTGCCTTGGCTCAGGGCAACAGACGTGGATTTTGGATGGGATCTGAAGCCTAGGGATGAGAAACTTTGAGACAGGGGCTGAGGAATGAGGGGGGGTGTTCTCTTGGTCCTGGGGCCACACAGGGAGTCACACACACACACACATTCACTCACTCCTGCTTCTGCGCTCCCACCCAGCCAATGGGGAGCGTCTGTGGGCCAGATTTTTCATCACTCATGGAAACTTTGATTCTGGCTGTTGGGTAGAGTGTCAGCAGCAAGCACCTGGGGATCCCTTGGCTAGCCCAGCCAGACATTGGAAAGAGCAGGGAGACAGAAAAAGAAAGCAGGCAGAGAGGGGGATGGTGGGGAACTGAATGGCACGGGGTGGGGGCAGTAATGGGGAGGGGACCCCCTGCCTGCTGCAGACCTCCCTGCAGGGCCCAAGGGATTCTGCTGCCATCTGGGCAGCTGCAGCTGGTGACTCACTGGAGGGCTGGACTGGGCGGGGTGAGGGACAAGTCAAGGACTTTAAGAGCAACGATCTTCTAGGAGATCCAGGGGAGCGGGGAGGAGATGGGGGGCTGCTTTGGTTTCTTGCTGTCCTCCAGGCCCCATTGCCAGGCTGGAGAGTCTCCAAGAGGGAGAAAGTGGGGGAGGGGGCTGGTGTGATGTCCTTTTCCGGTGCTGACGCTCCCCATCTTGTCTGGACTGCAGACAAGGACGAGGGCGATCACCCCAACAACAGCTTCAGCCCCTGCAGCGCCCATGACCGCAGGTGCCTGCAGAAGCATTTCGCCAAGATGCGAGACCGGAGCTCCAGTGGGGGCAAGATGAAGATTATTGGGGCGCCCCGCGAAGACGTCCGGCCTGTGGTGAGGAGCTCTGACTCACACACGTGCATGTGCCTAGACACACACACACACAGAGACGCACACACATGCACACACGCATGCACATGCACACACATGCACACATGCATCCACCACCATCATCACCCGATCTGGGCTGTGTTCATCCGGCAGACATTCTGTGGACACCTACTGTGTGCCAGATACACCTAGTGTGTGTCATCTTTCCTTGGAGTGATTTTCCTGCTCATCAGTTGTATACTTCGGTACAGTGGAAGCGATTGTTAAATACTGAAATGCTTCTGTACTGGCTGGGAAAAAAGCAGCTACCCCAAGCCTCCCCCACCCACCCCGCCCCGGGTATTTCTTGGCCCTTCCCAGTAACGAGGGGGTTAATGCTGGTCACTGCCGTAACCCTTGCCACCCTGCTGCAGGGTCTGGCTCCTGTGCTTTCTGATGGGCGGCTCTGAGGGGTGCTTGGGTCCTACAAGTTGTCGCTGACATGACTTCATGGCTCCCTCCCTGGCCTCTCCCAGGGAGCTGAGTCCTGTCTGGTCCTGCTACCTCTCTCCCTTCTGCTGAGCGGTTTCGTCCTCCTCTCCCCCAGCCCCAGGGTTCCTGCCAGAGTGAGCTGCACCGGGCCCTTGAGCGGCTGGCCGCCTCTCAGAGCCGCACCCACGAGGACCTCTTCATCATCCCCATCCCCAACTGCGACCGCAACGGCAACTTCCACCCCAAGCAGGTGCGGATGGGAGGGGCGTCTCTCCAACCTGGCCCTTGGGCCCTTCCCGAATCCCACCCCGTGTCGGTGCCTCCCTCATTTTGGAGATAAGGAGGCTGAGGTGCAGAGAGGTGTAAACAGGGCCCAGAGTCAGAGAGAGAGAGAGAGAGAGATAGGGGTGGCGGGACCCTGCCTCCCGGCCCAGGGCTGCTTATCCCTGGAGTCACCACCATCCTTGGGCTCCCAGCGCTCTCCCTTCCCAGGAGCAGCGGAAGGGCCTGAGGCAGGGAGGAAGCTCAGCCCATCCCTTACCCCAGCCTGTGCAGCAGAACCACCTGAGGAACAGGATTTGGGGTGGAATCAGAGGAAGGGGGGCAGGAGAGAAGACACAGAGGCGGCCGCCTCCGTATTCCTTCCTGCCCTTGGAACTTGGGGTATCCTCTGGTCTCACAGGAGGCTGGGATGTTTGGGTGGGATTGGCCCATCAGGGTGGGTCCCAGGGTGCCTTGTGCTGGATACAGCCTGAGGTCCCCGGCTCCAGCCCTCTGGGCTCTGGACACATCCAGCGAGCCAGCAGAGGTCTGGCTGGGAGCACAGAGGCTCTCGTGCTCTGGACACCCCAGGAGAATTCAGGCGGGTGTGAGGTCTTGTGTAATGCCGGAAGGCCCAGAGAGAGTTCCCCGAAGTCAGTGCCCGCCCAACTCCAACCTTTATCCCAACACCGATTTTATCCTGTTCCCAATTCTCTAGACTTTTCCCCTCTGATTTTTAAAACAATTAATATACATTATTTTATTAGGGCAGTTCTAGGTTTATAGAAAAACTGGACAGAAAGTATACAGCTGCCTTGTACTGCCGTTCTCCCCCTGGCCAGTTTCCCTTGTGTTTGATGTCTTACATTAGAGTGGCTTACTCCTTGCAGCTGATGGACCAGTAGTGCTATATGATTGTTAACAGGGTCCATAACTAGGTTCCACTTCTTGTGTTGCCTAATTCCATGTATGTTTTCTTCCTGCAGTTTTTATCCCAGTGAAAGCTGGGACACTTGACTCCATCCCCAGACAAATTCTGGCCCTTGGCCCTGGAACTAACCTTCACTGTAACTCTAATTCTACCCTGAAATAGGCTTTTGCTCTCATGCCCTCTACTGTCTAATCCTAATCTAAACTTCAGCCTGACCTTAGTTGCTCTGACCTTGACCTCTGCCCATAGCCCAGTTCTGTTTCTGACCTGGGCTGTAACCCTTACCAGACTCAAGTTTTACTCCTAATTCCTAATTCAACTGCAGCCCTTACCCTGGTCTTACCTTAATCCCAGTTTGGATCCTGCCATTGACTCCACCAAGCACATCCCTGAAGCATCTCCGACCTGAACCAACCTTTCTAACCCAGGCCTTTGCAGGGTCCTGCCTCCCCAGACGCTCTGGACCTCGCCTTCCTAGCCAAGTGCTCCCTACCGGAGTGAGCTCAGGGGACCCACACTCAGAGATGAGCCTCCTCCCTGTCTGACTTGGGGGCTGAGCTGCGGTTGAGGCGGGACGCTGGGGCTTTTCTGTCCCTGTCTGCCAGCTGACTGCTCATGCCCCTCCTGTCTTGGCAGTGTCACCCAGCCCTGGATGGGCAGCGCGGCAAGTGCTGGTGTGTGGATCGGAAGACGGGGGTGAAGCTTCCAGGCGGCCTGGAGCCCAAGGGGGAGCTGGACTGCCACCAACTGGCCGACAGCTTCCGAGAGTGAGCCCTGCCTCTGGCGGGGGGCTCATGCCCCCTGCTCCCCCCTGCTCTGAGAGTGCAGAGCTGACCCAGAGTGGGGTCTGGATCTGAGTCCTGGCTCTGCCTGTGGCCCAGAAATTTCCCTTGGGGTGTGTGCGTGTGTGTGTGCGTGTATGTGTGTGTCTTGATGGGCATGGATGTGCCATTGGGTGAGCCAGAGCCTAGAGTGTCCTATTTGGGCTTAGAGAGCCCAGGAGGTCGCAGAGTGGTGATGGGGAGCCCTGGCGCGTTTCCAACTTGATTCTGAATTCATTCCTCTATCTACCCACCTACCCACCCATCTGAAAACATGTATTGACCACATACTATGTTCCAGCTCTTATTCCGACTTCCTCTGATTTGGGTATATGGGATCCCTCCTTCAGGTGAGCACAAGCCTGTGAGAGAAGAGAAGTCTCATTCCCAGAGTCGGAGGAGAAGAGAGATATATGTTCCTTGACCGTTGTCCCGCCCACCGTCCAGTTGCGGGGGAGGGGAGGGCACAGGGAAGGCGAGGGGTGTGGATGGCCCAATGATGGTGTGGCTTTGACCCACTCCCAAGGCTCCCCTTCCTCTCTTCCCCAGGACCCTCAGGGGCAGGGGCCTGCAGGGACAAGCCCACTTTGGGGTCCAGGTATCCTTTGGCTTGGTTTCCTAGCAACCAAGTCCCTGCTGGATGGGAGAGGAGGGATTGGAAGAAGTTCTGCTGAACAGAGGGTTGGGCGGTTGGAGCATCTTTTGGAGCAGTCAGAGTGGGAAGAGAGGATGCAGCCTTGGACTGAATGTGCCTCGTGCCGAAGAGGACCCGCCTGCTGGGGTCCGGCTCCCTGCAGCCAGGCCGTCACGGGATGACCTGACCGGGATGACCTGACCCCATGCTTCCGGTGGCTCGCCACTGTGGCTCTCCCGTTTACTCCTTCCCCTTCACCTCCTCCCCTGCTCCTCCCGAGGCCCCTGGGCGTTTTCTGGATGGAAGGAAACTTAAGAACCTTTCAGTTTGCCAGCAAGTCTTTTCTTCTTTTTTTTTTTTTTTAACAAAACAAAACAAAACAAAATCTCTAGAATATTGTGTGTGGTTGCTTGATTTACTGTTGGGAATTGGGGAGGTCCCAGGGCTGGCGAGGGGACAGATTTTGGGAAGTGGGTGCCCAGACCTGCCTATGTGGTGAAGTCAGCCCACCCGCCCCTTCCCTGAAGCTTCTTCCTGGGGGTATCCCTGTCCACGGAGTAGGGGCTGTCTGGCTTGGACTCCTGGGGTGTAGCAGTGGCTTCTGGAGGAAGGTGTGACCAAGGATAGCCCTGTTGGGCCAGCGCTCTTTCTGGGATCAGCCTGTATGTGGAGTGGGCCATCAGCGGATGGGGTTTGCATGTGGGTTTTTTAGTTTAGCTGGGGACTAGGGGGGTTCTGCCCGCCACATGCTCCACAGCTCTGACCGCCCAGATTCCTGCCTGGGGGCTGTGCTGAGATGGTATTCTGAGGGGCCGGGAGACAGGGCGGGGGGGAGGGGCAGCTTTGATTTTGTTGTGGATGTTCAGCGCCAGCCCCAGGGGGGGCGTCTACCGTGGACTCCTCAGAGTACACGGCAGTGAGGCCACTGCCTTCTGGGGACATTCCCTCCAGCCTGGCCCTGTCCCCTCCCCAGTTCTAGAAGTGCTCCCAGAGTTCGGGTTTCCCTGGCCTCTACTTCGATGGCACCTGTGCTGTCTGCACCTTGGGTCTGGGGCTGAAGTCGCATCCCTCTTAGCTCTGCCTCGGTGCCGCAGCCTCTTGCAGCTGTCTGGTTTCACTGAGGCACCACGCTGCTGCTAGCAGCAGGAGACCAGCAACAAAGCTACCTTGAGTTCCCTGCCACTCTGCCTAGAGCCCACTCCTTCCAGGGCCGGCCCAGGGCGTGCTGGAGGGGGAGGGAGTGCGGGCTGAAGATTCAGTCTCAGGTCTCTCAGCCACACCCAGGGGAAGTCTCTCCCTAATGCAGCTCTTTCCAGCCCCTTCCCAAGGCTGGGGGTCTGCACCCTGGGCAGCCGGTGGTAGGAGGTCTCCTGAGAAAGCAGTCGGCTTGGAGGTGGCTGTGGGGGTGCGTGTGAAGGTGGCACGGGAGCAAGCGTCTGGGCCCTTCCAGGTGTGCGTGTGTGCCCACCTGATGTGCTTCTGTGAGATGGCCACTTGTGTGCTGGGTCTCTGAGCTGAGAACGACACATGCGCAGAGCGCACACTTCCCCGCCGGCTCTGAGTGCGGGGCCCCTGTGGGGCGTTGTAGGGGACTGTGTGGTCCCAGGGAGCCGTGGAACGTGCATTTGGGAGAATTCCACAAGAACACTGTCCCCACGACCCTGGAACCAGGGCCTCCGTTTCAGAAAGGAAATGGGAGCAGCTCTGTGTTTGGCCCTGGGCCCCCCTTCCCACTTGGCCTCCAGATACCCTGACATGGTCCCTGTGGTTGCCACACACGGTGCCAGACCCTCGGGTAGGGACCACTACACCGTGTGAACTTGGGCTTATCCCTTTGTCGCATGCTCTGCCCTGCCTCCCCACCCCGAGCCGTCCTCTGCAGCCCCTGCCTGGATCCCCTCGCCCGCTGGAGCTGAGCTACATCAAACATTTGGTTTCCGTTTCCAGCTTCGCAGTGCAGATCCAGCGCTGGGGCTGAGGGCTGGGGGCTGGGATTTCGCTGGCAAGAGGGCAGGCTGGGGGCAGGGAGAAGAAAGTGGAGCCTTGGACTGACTCCTGCGATGGATTCCGGCGGGGGTAATCTCTGGATAGATGGCCAGAGGCCCCTTCCCTCCCCGTCTGGGCTGTGAGGTTCCAGTCACTGTCCTACCTTCAGCTCCTCTTGTCTCTGCTCCTTGGGGCCAGGCTGCCAGCGAGGTGCTCCAGGAAGGCTCCTGCCCCGCGTCCCCTCCTGGGGGGATGTGTAAATATGGCTGTGTGGCAAATGACCCTGAAAGCATTCCCAGCCAGAGGAGATCCCCCTGCATTCCAGGCTCCTAGGCAATGTCACCTCTGACCTAGAGAAAGTGGAGACACTGGGGGTGGACAGAGCTGGGGGGCCGGCTGGCTGCTGGCTGCTGGCACCCTGGGTGGTCGAGGGCAGAGGGAGGAAAGGGGGCCAGCTTGTCAACTAGGGGAGCTGGACCAGGAGGAGGGAGCATATTCAAGCATATTCAAGGGTGGGGGGTGGGGGGTGGTTATGTGGAGGCGGGACAAAGGAGTCCGCCTCTGGGCTCAGTCTTGTTGGGACAGGCACTGCTGCTGATCAAGGGCCTAATGGGAGCCTCACTGTCAGAGTGACCTGTCCCCCTGGGGCCCCGGAAGGTGGGGAGGGCTGGGGTCAGGGAGCAGCTGTGGGGAGCCCCGCGCCTTAGCTAATTAGAAACATGCTGTGCTGCGTGAGCAGGCGCCAAGGCGACCTCCTCTGGCCTCCCCTTCCCAGCCCCTCCCCCTCCACCTGGAGTCCAGTCCCACCAGCCCTGATGAGTGAAGGGCTGGCAGAGCCTGGGAGTAGAAACTCCTGGGGATCAGCTTCCCAGGCCCTTACACGGACTCTAAAGTGCAAACAACATATTTTCACCATGCAGTGGTATTTAATTACACATAAAAACAGAGCCATTAAACTGAAATTAAACCCTTGTTGGAACCACTCAATTCAGGGCATGACAAATTGCTTTCAGTGGAGGCGGGAGGAAGTCCCCAGGGGAAAGATGCAGCTTGGTGGCCTCCATGGCTGGCTGGGTCCCCTCCTTCTCTTGGCCCCCTTGCTGCTCTAAACTCTGAAAGTCAGAACCGTCTTCCCGAAAACCCCCCAAGCCAGGGGGAAGTGTCTAGGTTTGCTTGGATGACAGGAATGAAGGGTTGGGGAAGCACCGAATCACTGTCCTATCTGGTTTTAGCCAACCCAACCCGCTTTATGGATGGGAAGTGGAGGCCCAGCTGCTGGGGTCGTCCAGAGAGAGCAAGTGGCGACCAGAGACTGTGTCATTCGGGCTGTGTCCTTGGCTCTGGGCCTGGACACAGGGGCTGGGGCTGGGCCAGTGCAGGGCGGGGGACCGGAGCCGACCCAGAACTTCTCCAGAACTTGGTCCCCACCTGGTGAAACCCCAGAGACAGCGGGGACGAGAGGGGCATGGGCTTTTCCCTGGTGCCCAGACTCGAATCAGACAGACCTGGTTCCTCAAGGGCCTCAGCTTCCCCACGCGTCAGACAGGGATGGGATTCCTATCTAGGGTGTTCTTGGGAAGACCAGCGGCTCGGGCCACAGCAGAGTTCCGCCAGCTCCAATGGATTCCCTTCCCTGGGTTCAGTTTCCCTGTTTGCAATCAGACCCAACTGAGATCTGAAGGTTTCTAGAGCCTTCTGGTTCTCTGTTTGCAGCCCTTCTTCTTCCCTCCAGTCCTTTTCATCAGTTTCCTTCTTTTTTCCTCTGTGGTCTGCAGGTCTGGGATCCGACCACTGGGGAGGGGAAGGGAGGCCCGCGCCCCCTGCTGCCTGCTCCTGCACCACCACCCCATCTTTCAGTCGCTCTGTGTGCGGCCTGCCCGGGAGTAAAAGGATACAAGTGGGAGGGGACTGCCCTGGGGGGGAGGGTGACTGTGAGGTCAGGGGGCTCACTGTGGCCCCCCTTGCCACACATCCTCTGTGATCTGATTGGAACCAGATGGGTGCCGAGGCCAGAGGCCTGTCTGAGCAGTCTACTGACTCCGTGTACTCCTCCAGGAGGGGCGGGGGATGGGTTGGGGGAATGGAGAGGCCTGGGGGGGTCTCTTATTTCAGGGGTCTGGGAGGGAGAGCCCTCCTTCCCTTCTCCTCCCCACTCCCCAGGCTTGTGGCCTGGAAATCCATCCACTAGCACGTGGAGGGTGGCCACAGGAGGCAGCCAGCTGAGGATAAGTTCCTGCCCAGCTTGGGTGGGCAGCCTTCTGCCTTAGGGCACCCACCCCCCACCCCCACATTTCCATTCTGCTGCCCATCTCAGCAGCAAGTTGCCAACTAGGAGCTGAGCACACCTGTGTCCTGGTCTCCTAGTGTGGCCTCAAGGTCACTGCCCTCATCCCAGCCTCCTCGACCTTGACAGACGCAGAGTTTTCGGCACTGGGCGCTGGGGCGGGCTGCGGCCCAGGCTTCCCGTCATTTCAGGCCTGGCAGGCATCCGGCTGCAGATGGCTCCCCCGCCAGCCTGGCGGCCAGCACAAATGCTTCACAGCTGTATCTCTACCAACTTGCCCGGGAGCTTTGAGACAGAGGCGGGAGTCACAGAGGGGCCCGCACCGAGGGCCAGGGTGGAGGCTGTGGGGGACAGCCCAAGACAGCTGCTGAGAGAAGGAGGATGACAAGAAAACTTGGGAATCCAGCAAAGGCTTTCCCAACTTGCAGGGGCTGGAGTGGGGCCGGGTGCTGCCTGGCAAGAGCCAGGCCTTGGGTCTCTCTCTTCTCGCTCCTGGTCTCTGAGCAGAGCCAGAAGCTTCCAAGTTGCAGCAGCAGCAGGAGGGGAGCAGAGCTCTGTCCCGACCCAGGGGAAATCAGACCAGGCTGCTCAGAAGATAAATTCAATTTTCCAGCATCATGGAAGGTTAGTGGGACAATAAAGCCCTCCCCCCAGCCCCCCTCCCCCCCCAAAAAAAAAACATTAAAAAAGAAAAATAAGTCCAATTGCCCTTGGCTGAGCTGTTTCCCAACTTCATGTCTCAGCAGCAGTTCAAGGCTTCTTATTCAAAGTGACATGTGACTGCTCGGTGACCCTGGCCTGCTCTGCTGGTGTGCAAGGGGTCAGACTGGGCCAGGGCAGACTGACCACCCCCACTCCCCGAAGCCCCCTGGGGCCTGTCCTGGAGGCAGGCGTGGCCTGCAGGGCTCTCTGGAGGCAGCCCCAAGCCTCCATGCAGAACAAGGGGAGAGGCTGTGGGTCAAAGCCAAAGCAGCCCACTTCCGACAGACCGGACGACAACAGGGTCGGTCGGTGTCTCCTAAACTCCAGGCGACAGGCAGAGGAAGGGACACTTGGCACATCCCGGGTAGAGGGTGGGCGGAAGCGCAGAGG